TAAAAATTCATTCCTTGTCTCTGACACCAGAGTCTTTAAAGATTAGCTTTTCCCCTGGGTTTCTGACTATAGTCTTTTTTTCCCTCTGTGATCATAAAGCAAATTCCATAGTAAATTGGATAATTTTCATCATCTAATGAAAGCGCCTCAGGGGTCCGTATATATTTTTAATTGTATTCTAATCAAATACATTTGTGTAACATTTTGAATTAGTGCATATATTCTGTTGTGAGATCGTATAATGAAAATCCATCTTGCAATGGATGTTTGCAGTGGAGGTAAGGAGGTAAAATTAGAGTCCCAACTAAAACCTTAAAAGCCTGCTGTCAAGTCAAATGTAGGCCAGAAAAGCAATATAAATGTTTTAATTGAAATAAAAAAATTACAGTTGAAGCAGTTTTTTTTAAATTAATATATGTTCCCCTGTGGAATTATGGTAGTACATGAACATCTGAAATAAACTTGGCTTGAAATTGACTGGCCTCATATCTATTTCCAAGTTCAATAGAAAAATAAACTAGATTTTAAAATTCACTTTGAAAAATCTAAAGTGGTGTTAGTAAGGCTTTTTTTTCTTAAAGGCATTAAAATCTGACAGTGTCCTCTCATTTCCACAATTAGCTATAGATGCAGAAAACTACCTTTTCTGATCAAGACTTTTTTTCTAATCTAGTTTTATTTTATAGAGTTGTAGTTTTAGTGTTAGCATTGTTTATTTGTGACTGTTGTTTCAAACTTTTTTCTGCATTTAGTACGTTTTTTTTTTTTCTTACTGTGTGCACTGTGGCATAGTGACAGGAATTAAGACAAACCTGAAAGACATGCTTATTTTCTTGTCTGGCTAAGCAAGGGTTATTTGTGCAGCCATTGTGTCAATTCCTTCATGCCCCAGGCTCAGAAAGAACAAACTCTAGGTCTTCTTTCTAAAAAAATCACTAAAAGCCAACTCCTTAGATTCATCTGAGGCAACTAAATACTCTGGAGGCAGAATGAAGGCATCAATGCTGGGAAAAGGCAACAGAGAGTGCTGTGGCACCTTTAAGACTAACAGATGTATTGGAGCATAAGCTTTCACCCACGAAAGCTTATGCTTCAATACATCTGTTAGTCTTAAAGGTGCCACAGGACTCTCTGTTGCTTTTTACAGATCCAGACTAACATGGCTACCCTTCTGATACAATGCTGGGAATAGCACCATCCTGTGTATCTGCTGCAAGGGTTCTATCTGGGACTGTTGATGCCATGGTTTCAGCACTAACTGGTTTATGCCACCTCCACTTAAGTTAGCTAGGGCTTCTGAAATTGTTGCTAACAACATTGTCAGCTTTTCAGTCCCTGGAGTGGTTCTGGTTCTAAGGGTTTGATGAACCCCTTCTTCTAACTGGGATGTTGTACCTCCATCAGAAATAGTGGTGCAGTCAAGTCAACGTTTCTAGTAGGCCTGGGTTCCACACTTCTCTGCCCTCAAGCATAAAGGCAAGAACAATTAGGTCTTCAAGGCATTTTCTGTGCCAATGATCCATTCCTCCTTTAGCTAGAAAAAGTAGTCATGGAAGCATAGGTCCAGGAAGCGCAGAGGGACTTCAGAGATGTCAATTCTGTCTTCCCCAATGTTAAAAAGAAACTAATCTGCAACCCTGTCTTGCCCTCCAGTCTCTCCTAAGCAGACAGGGAGGCTACTTCTTCCCTGGTGTCAATGTTGCTGCAAGCTCTTCTGGTGCTACTGATTCCCTGGACTCAATTTGACTGTCCTCTGGAGGAAAGAAATCTTATTGTGCCAGGGCTGCTGGTTATCTGGTCAGGGGGAGTCTTCCTTGGTTCTAGGGAAGGTTGTCCCAGTTGACCTTGGTGTCTTCCGGCTTTGAGACTTACCTGGACAGCTTGTAGAACAGTAAATATGAGATCTGGTCCCCCTCTGGTCCTTCTAGGAACTTTCTCTATCAAATTCATTAGGCTCATTGGGTGAATTTAATCCAGCCCACTTTACCTGGTCCTATAATCCCTGGATGAGATGGATTTATTGACAATCTTCTATGCCATCTGTTTCTATATGGTGCCCAGGGTCTTCACCAAATATTTTCCCCGGGTGGCTTCTTATCTATGGTCTGAGCTAATTCTTAAATGCATGAATTTAGATGGCCATCTGATTGAAGCATACTTTTGTCAGGCTTTGAAAAACTTGATCAAAAGTACTTTGTAATTCATTTCAAACTCTGGACATCCTGTTATATTGGGGAAAAAAGTCTTCTGGTATCCACTCAGATGATTTATTTTACTAGCGCTATATCAAACTCAGTTCATGTCTTTTTTTTTTCTATAGGAGAGGTTTTTTTTGGATGTGTCTCAAGGCCTATTTACCTTAAATGAAAACCTGTGTCAGACAATGAGGTTCTTCTTCCATCTGATAGGCCTCATGGCACCCTCACCATATGTGACACTTTATGTTCACCTTTGGATGAGGTCTTCCAACTTTGTCTAGCTCAGAACTTTACTCCTAATGTGGATGATGTGTATGCTTACCTGACAAAGATCCTTGAGTTTCTAGAGTGATGGGAATTGGTGATCACTTGCTCAGAGATGAGGCGCATAGGGGAGGAGAAACTACTTATAAAAAAAATATTGACAATGGTTAGGCTGCTGGTGCATTGAGACCATTACCTAGCATGCTGACCAATATTGTCTCATTATTTCTTTATATTCTGTCTATCCTTGTACTCTGTCTGTTGTCTCTTGTCCTATACTTGGATTGTGAACTGCTTGGGGTAGGGACCATCTTTTTGTTCTGGGTTTATACAGAGCCTAGCACAATGGGGTCACGATCCATGACTAGGGCTCCTAGTCACTGCAGTAATAAAAATAATTAATACACTATTGCAGGACTGCTTTAGTAATGTCTTTGCAGCTATGAGGTTTGAAGGACCAGAGCAGAAACTGGACCTTATTGATTCACTCTTCCTCAGGAGGAACAACCAAAAGATTTATGGAAGCATAAATGTCTCCCCAGATGCAATTTGCTTTTTTGCCATGACAAAACAAAATATACATAATATAAAGCTACCTTAGAAATGTGTAGAAAATTATGGACTCCTAATGCGCGATTCTGAAATTGTCTTGTTCAAGGAAAACTGATCTGCACATTGATTTGTCTCACCAAAGACCCCTTAAATAGGCTGAGAGGGTTACTAGAAACCTTTTTCATTTAAGTGCTACTCAGTTGTCAACTGCTAACTATTAATCCTGTTTGTCTAGATCTGCCATCTGCTGGTTGTCTGAAACGTAGTAAGATGAAGGTTTTGTGCCACACGCTCAAAAAAGGTGAGAAAGCTCTGTCAGGTTTGGTGGCAGTTAGTAGTTTTCATGTTACCTTGAATTACATGGATCTGGAAGCCAATGGTGTCCACATATCCTTCGTTCCTGGATGAGTATGTGGGTTATTACATGGCAGAAAAACATTCCTTTCAACTTAGAATGGTGACTTTTCCCTTGAAGTTGGCAGAGCCACAAGGAGACCATCATCGAAGGAAGGTGAAAAAAGAGATTAGTCAGATAAATGTTTGAGAGTTTTAGTTTAGATGGTGGATTTGCAGACTTGAAAGGAGGGAAAAAAGAAAATTCCCAACTGCATAGGAAATACTGATTCCTGACAAGTATCAGAGGGGTAGCCGTGTGAGTCTGAATCTGTAAAAAGCAACAGAGGGTCCTGTGGCACCTTTAAGACTA